TTGCCTGTGGCAAGTAATGTCCCACTATCTTTCAGAAAACTATCATAACATCCACTGGTCTTCTTATTTTGGGTTGACTTTGCAAATCTGGTTCCTTTCAAATACATGTTTATTTGTAGTAAAACTAGGAGGTTGCTATATTACCCCCATATATCTCAGATGAGTGGTGAAGAGCATGAGAGAGAAACTGGGACATAACTACCCCAACTGACATTCCTGTGTTTGACAAGTCCTTGTACATTAAGGTTCACACTCTTCCACACCTGTCCCTTAATCTCAGGTGTGCTCTTACTGCCTCTTTCATACTTTGCTGCAGCAGGTGGGTTATCCTCCCAATGGGAGGACTTTCTCTCAATAAACGCCCATACACTCTCTGGACCTTTACCTGAAGACCCATTCCCTTTGTCCCTCACCTTGAGACTTCCCCACCAGTGTAAGTAATAAATCTTCCTCTGGTTATACCAAAAAAAAAAAAAAAAAAAAACAAACCAACCCTAATCTTAAGGCTTCTGACTTTGGAAACTAACCTTGGGAGGAGGCTTCCCCATGTTATGATGGAGTTGTCTCACATGTGTTATAACAATTATTTTGCTGATAAGGAAATGGAGAAACTTTGAAGACATTCTAGATGATTAAACCCTACCTGACAGTTAACACTAATATGATCATAGCCTTTTGATAAAGCCAAATTGTTTAGGATAAACTTAAGGCTACAGATCTTTCGGTGGGTGGCAGAATTTCAACCAGAAGATTTATTTACCTGGAAATGACATCTGATAGCTGTGGCAGGAGTTAAGAGGGAAGGTTCTAAACCACCTAGAAAAGTAGGATGGGTGAGTTGGGGGCTTGCTCATGGGTTCTCAAGTTCTGGTGCTAGGAAGTAGCCCCTCAGGAAGTGATTCTAGTGATTCTAACTCTTGCCCACTGTCTGGCCAAATTCTTGTAATCACTTTGTGTGACCAACTCTCCCACAGGAGATAATGCTTTAGCTTTCCTATGCCCTGCCAAGTGGTTTCTTGGGTGACCAAGTACACAATAAAACCACAGTCCTCAGAAAACTCAAGTCATGATGACATCCTGGAATACAGGGGTTACCAGACATAGCAGAAGAACCATATTGCTCAATCTTTGCTAGGGCAAAGTTCTGTAAAATGCATTAATCTGCTTTTCTCCCAAGAGACTGTCAGTATCTTTTTACCCTCATGGCACACAATAATGTGATACCCATTTCTGATTCAACTGGAATGTTAAAGGACCCTAGAATAATAAAGGGATGTGTAAGGGCTCCAGTATATACCATTAAATAGTAAAATAATAATGGCTCTCTTAACCTGAGCATCTCCCATGTGTCAGGAAATTTACAACCATTATTTCTTAAATCCTTACAGCAAGTCTATGAGGTAGTTACTACTACGATCCCCATTTTACAGAAGAGGAAAGTGGAACAAATTTCAAGATCATTTAGCTAGCAAAAGACAGAGCTGGTTTTCAAGTCCATGTCATTCTCCAAATTGTAAATTATAACCAGTGTCTTTCTTTCCTTTGATATTCATGATGGGCAAAATGATGTCCCTCCCCCCAATTAAGGTGTCCACAACCTAATCTCCAGAACTTGTGAACATGTCACAAGGTAAAAGAGATTTTGCTCATACAGTTTAGGAAAAAAAATCTTGTGATGGATAGACTGTTCTTAGGATTACATGTATGGGCTTAATGTAACCATAAGAGTCCTCATCAGAGTCAGAGAATGAGATGTGACAACAGGAACAGAGCTTAGAGAGAGAAGGCAGTGAGCCAAAGAATGAAGGTAGCTTCTACAGGCAGGCATAATTAAGGAATGGATTCTCCTTTACAGCCTCCAGAAGAAATGCAGCTGTGCTGACACTTGATCTTAGCCCTGTAGACCCATTTCAAACATCTGCCCTCTAGGAACATGGAATAATAAATTTGTATTGTGTTAAACTCTAAAGTTTTCAGTCATTTGTCCCAGCAGCAACAGGAAACTAATAAAATGTCTCGTTGCACTTCTTACTCTCTGATACCACTTTTTATCTTGTAAAATATAAATATATATAAAAACATAAACATTCCAACAAAATTTTAACTCTTTTTTTTATTCCTCTATTCCTCCTATATTCTACCAAATCTTACCTTTTTTTCAGCATCCATGTTGTACTAGGCACTACCCTAGAAACTTTATACTCACTTTATTTTCCTACCACCTTGTGGAACAGATAGCTAGTTTATAATACAAAATGTGTGCTTCCCCTCCATTGTACAGATGGTTGTTTCTAGAAACTGCTTGCTCGACCAGAGACTACATTTCTTTAAGTTTTCTTATCTGCAGGTGTAGCCACATAATTCGATTTCACTAATGAAATCTGAGCAGAGGTAGAGTGGTTAGGAAACACACGCCTTCTCCACTCTTCCTTTCTCCTCTGCAGAGCCCTGGAAAACTATGTGTTAATAATGAGGGAGCCATAAAGATGAAGAAGGCTTCGTCCCTTTTCATCATTGTAATCTTTTAAGAGCAAGAAATAGACTTCTATTTGTGTAATCTACTGAGACTTGGGGACTTATCTGTTATATCACCTAGTGTGATTTTAACCATACTCCAACCCTGTGAGGTGTATATTATTAACCTCATGCTTAATGGTAGTGAAGCTAGGGCTCATGATGATAAAATAACTTGACTGAGGTAAAATATCTGAAATTGGCAGAGGCAGAATTATGACTCCAGAGACCACTGTATTTCCACAATACTACATAGTATCCTATATAAATTGCTGGTCAATTGTCTCTTGAACAAATTCTGTATTTTAAAAAAACAAAGTTTCTGAATCACAGATTTCAGACCTAGAAGGAACTTTGGAGGTTATCTCCCCTAAATCTCTTACAGACCTTCAGAGATAAGAGAAAGGAGGCCACCAGAGGCCAAGTGACTGGCCCATGTGATGAGACACAGCCCATTCAAGAACTTTTGCATTACTCAAACATTCCTGTACGTCAGCTTGTGTTTTAGTTAAAACTGGTTTTCAAACATTTTTAGATAAAATAGCCCATGACCATTAAGGTAGAGTCTTCTATTTACAATTAAAAAAAAAAAAGAAAAGAATTTAACTGTATTAAAAACAAATCAGCCAACCTAAGGTTATTAATACACGTGTGCGCACACACACACCCCTTACTCTGTTCTCTCTTGTTCTATTGAGACTAAATGATCTTCATGCTATAAAAATAAAAGTGGCAGAGCACCGAACAGATGGAGAGAAAAAAGAACGAGATGAGGATTCCACATCTTGGCAGTCTGAAAATATGTGCTACTACAGTAAACATATTTTTAGCAAACATAATGGCAACCCATATGCTGATCTCTCTCTAGAATTCTCTAGTTTGGCTCATTTGTTCTCTAAGTATAGCTGAACTTCTTTGCAATATACAGCTATATCCCGCACTTTCTTAGCCTGGGAGTTTAAGAATGCCAGGGAACTGGGTAAAATTATAAACTACAATTACGATTTTGCACTGGGTGAAATTTGTGTAGTGAGAGCAGAGCACGGGCACTAGGATGGGCTATTCTGAGTTCTACTGACCTGATTTCTTAATTTAATGCTAAGTTAATTCTAAGATTAATTTCCCCCAAAAGCTATAATTTCTTTAACACTGACAGCTCTGGGACATGAAGATCTGAAAATCCGAATATACAATGTGCCGTGAGATAACTGGAGAGCCACCATGTTTGTGATTCTCCCTGATTAAATTTTGATTTCAACCCAGCATCTTAACGTCAGCAATTTTTATACCCAAATGGAGCTTGAGGCATAGAACAAAAGGTCTCCCAAGTTTCTCTTACCTGGGAATTAGCTTATGGCTGTAGCTGCATATTAAATACGCTCTTCATTCCTTCATAGTTTTTCTGTTGAATTCATTTTCAAATTAAAAACTACCTTTTAGGGGTGCCTGGGTGGCTCAGTGGGTTAAAGCCTCTACCTTCAGCTCAGGTCACGATCCTGGAGTCCTGGGATCGAGCCCCACATCAGGCTCTCTGCTGCCCTGGGAGCCTGCCTCCCTCTCTCTCTGCCTGCCTCTCTGACTACTTGTGATCTCTGTCTAATAAATAAATAAAATCTAAAAATAAAATTGTAAGGGCCTACTTAGCCAGAGTGAGCCATTTTGTTGTTTATGCAGTAAACTTAGATTGAACCTGCCCCTTCCCCGCAAGAGGAAAGAGCTTAGAAACAGAACTGGTGAAATAGGGCCAAATAGCCCCAATAACGGAGCACAGATACCAGGACATGTCAGGCTGGGCAAAAATAACGGAGCCCAGATACAAGGACGTGTCCGGCCAGGTGGAGACGTCCAATCAAGTAAAAGCGCAGGTATTACTAGCCAGGGAGTGTGAGCCCCCGCCTTTTGGGCACCAGACAAAGGCGCCAATTCTCGCCAAGGTCATAGGCTGAATTAGATGACTATCATGGGGTAGAATGTAATTCAGTTGGCCACCTGTGTGTGGCCAGGCTCAACCACATGGCCTTTACTCTATAAAAGTTAGCCTGTGAGGCTGGGAGGGGTCGCCTCTTTGCAAGAGAGGGCCCTGGCCGGTCAGTTTGATTCTGGATGCTTGGCACGAAATAAAGCCCTGCTTAACTTTCGCTTTGTATCAGTCTTGTCCTTTTGTCTACGGACCCTTTCAAAAATAAAAACTACCTTTTAAAAATTTTTCAGTTTTCTTGAGGTGCAACATATAACACAAAATTCACTCACGTAAATTCAAGAATTTTGAGGGAATTTACTGAACTGTATAACCATAACCACAGTGGAATTTTAGAACATTTCCAACCCGAAAGGTCCTCTCCTACCCATTTTTGCTCCTGGCTCCCGTTCTCAGCCCCAAACAAACAATAACTTACTGTTTCTTACAGATTTGCCTTTTCAGGACATCTTAGATGAACAGCATCTTACCGTATGTGGTCTTCTGTGCCTGGACTTCCATGTTCCCTTCAAAGCCACTCAGGTCGACCAACTGAAAGCAGGGCGCAGGGCAGTCCCCGAACGGGAGAACGCCAGCGCGTGAAGCCGAGCTGCGGCCTGGGCGTCGGGTCCTCCATTGCGGTCAGGGGCTCCTGTACTAGATCCTTCCGCACAGCACGGGGAACGAAACACCCAATTTTGATCCTTCCGCAGGTTCGCCTATGGAAACCTTGTTAGGACTAACTTCTTTTACAAAGTCAAGTTAAACCATCTGAGCTCCGCCAGGACCACGGCTTTTAGAGGAGCCAAGCACAATAATTTAAAAACAATAAACATTCTGGGCCCAGTGGACACTCAGCTAAGCATATCAAGGATATCCTAAGAGGCAGGGGGCAGAGACTAGAAATTTGTGGGGTGCACCCATGCTGTGACTTGCATCAGATTTTTTTTCCGTGTCATTCCTGAGTGGTGTTGTATTACATGTGTGTACCACAATGTGATTATCCATTCACCAACTGACATCTTGCTTATCCCTTCACCATTTGATGAAGCTCAGAATTGTCTCCTCATTTGGGGTATTATGAATAGAGCTGCTACTATAAACATTAATGTGGAAGCCTTTGTGTGAAAATGTTTCACTTCTTTTGGATATATACCTGGGAATGGGATTGCTAGGTCATGTGGTAAATTTATGTTTAACCTCTGTTAAAAAATCGTCCAACTGTTTTCCAGAGTGGCTCTGTCATTTTGAATTCCCACCAGCAATATATGCCAGTTTCCCCACACCCTTCCCAGCATTTAGAGTTATTGCCTTTTGTTTTTTAAGTTATTTTAGAATTTTGGTTGGGGTATAGTGATATCTCATTGTGAGTTTTCTTTTTTTTTTTTGTTTAAGATTCGTGTATTTATTTTAGAGAGGGAGAGAGTGTGTGAGCAAGAGCGGGGAGTGGAGGAGCAGAGGGAGACAATCGCTGGGCCCTCCACATGGGACTCCATCCCAGGACCCATGATGGGACTCCATCATGACATGAGCTGAAACCAAGAATTGGGTGCCTAACTGACTGGGCCACTCAGGCACCCCAATCTCATTGTGGTTTTAATTTGTATTTCCCCAATGGCTAATATGCTGAACATCTTTTCATGTGATTATTTGCCATCTGTAAATCTTCTTTGATAAATGTGTGTTCATGTCTTTTGCCCACTAATTATTTTTTTAAATGTTTTTTTGAGTTTTGAGAGTTCTTTATACATGCTTGATAAAAATACTTCATCCAGTAGGTGATTTACAAATAATTTTCCTCCAGTCTGTATATATCACTTTATCCTTTTACAGAGTTGTTCACAAAGCAAAAATTTTCAATATTGATTTTCATGCTGACAAAAATGCATTAATTATTCCTCTGACAGAGTATACATTTAGTGTCAAGTCTAAGAGCACTTTATCTAGTCCTAGGTTACAAGATTTTCTATGTTTCTTTCTGAAAGTTTTATAGTTTTGCATTTTCCATTCAAGCCCATGATCCATTTTGCATTAATTTTTTGTACTAAGTATAGAGTTTACATTGAAGTTTTGGTTTTTTTTTCTTTTTGCTTGTAGATGTCTGTGTTAGCACAGTCTGCCATAACAAAGTATTACAGACTGTGGTGCTTCAACAACAGAAATTCATTTTCTCACAGTTCTGGAGTATAGAAGTCTGAGATCAGGGCTGCGTTCTTGAGGAAGTCCTTCTTCCAGGTCTGTGGACTGCTGTTTTCTTGCTGTGTCCTCACATGGAAGAGAGAGCACTCTCTCGTCCCCTCATTATAGGTCCACCAAACTTAGCAGGTTAGGAGCTCACCCTTTTGATCTAATTTAACCTTAAACACCTCTTAACAGCCCTTTCTCCAAATACAGTCAAACTGGGGGTAAGAGCTTTAACACATGAATTTGTGTAGGGTGGCAGACAAAGTGGGGGACACAATTCAGTTCATAGCAATGTTCTGGCACTCCAGCACCATCTGTCAAAAAGACTATCCTTCCTATATTGAATTGATTTGGCACTTTTGTCAAAAATCAGTTAGGTGAGTGTGGGGGTCTATTGTGGGGCTCTCTGTTCTGTTTCCTTGACCTGTGTGCTTATCTTTTTGCCAATATCATACTGTCTTGATTACTGTAACTATATATTAAGTCTTAACATTGAGAATTAACACTGAGATTCTTTATTTTTTATTTTCATTTATTTCTCTTTTTAAAAATTACTTTGGCCATTCTAGCACATTCCCTTTTTCATACAAATTTTAGAATAAGCTTGTCTATGTCTCACAAACCATGCTGAGACTTTTATAGGAGTCCATAGATCCACTGATTCCTATGAACTGGCTAGATGCACGCACAAGCCTAGAGAGGAAGTGTAAGGGGTGCAGAAGTAGTATAAGAGGGGCAGGTGGCCTGGGATGGGTTAAAGTGTGTATATAGTGGGAATTCTGCTTCGGGCTGAATGCAGCTGGTACTGACTCTGTCTCCACCCTTGCTTCTAGAGCCTGCTCTCTGAGCCTGCAGGAGTCCCAAACAAACCAACCACAAGGCTTGAATTCGAGTCCTCCTTGTTTTTCCTCTGTGTAGCCCTGGGGCATAACAACTCTCAATTTTGGGATTAATCTGTCCTCAAAGACAAATCAATTGCATGGATCCTAAGTTGTGCCAAGTTTCATGAAAGAAAACATAGAGAAGGAGAACATACATAGAGAAAGAGCCTGGGAAAATGGACCCTCTTTATTACTAGCTATGGTTTAGACCTAATCCCTCTCTGGAGCCTTGGTCCCGATGAGCAGATCTGGGAAAATGTTGAAGACTCTCTTTGCCCTTTTAGTTTTAAGTCTAGACAGGAAATGCCTCGGCAGACAGTTGAAGCCTCCCTTTCCCTAAGCCCCTTCATTGGTACACTTGTGGTGTCTACTTGACCTTCCCAAGGCACAGACACCCCTCACTTAGCCTCATAGGAGAAGAGCTATTTCCAAAGCCCAATACAGAAGGCAAAAAGGGAAAGGCTAAAGAGACCCCATGGTATTTGAACTCCAGGATTGTTATTGCGGTTGGAATCATTTTCCTTATCACATCGGAAGCTCTGCCCTGGCCCTATGGCTTTATTTTCCATGGCCTGGCTCCAAAAATGTGATTTTCACTGCTCCTTAGAGGCGGAGCTGGGACGATGGAGGGGGGAGGCTGCCTTTCCCTTAGCGCTCTCTCACTGTGCTACTGAATCTGTCTGCCTGCGTTGATGGAGAAATTGAGTTTCATAAATCATCATGCAGTTCACACGGGCACTAACATCAGATAAACTGCCTGCCAGCCCAGCCGTGACAAATCACTGCTTGTTGCTAGGCTGCTCCTTGGAGCCCTGAGAGAAAGATTTCACGGTGCTGTAACAACCAGTTATGTATCTCACTAGCGGCCAGAGCCTCGACTTTCAGCTTCCAGTGCCTTCGCTCATTGCATCGCCTTTTTTTTAGAGAGATCTCTTGATCCACCACCAGACCCAGCTCAGCCACTATCTGTGACGTCTCTCCTCCCTTAGCAGAAGGATCCTGAATTGCTCCCCTCCCCTCGCTCTAACAGCCCTCTTCCCTTATCGTACCTCTAGCATGATTGTTTTTTTTCCTTATAGGGCAATAAACCATGGGCAATGGGGGGCCTGGGGATATTTCTGATCAGGGCAGCAACCCAGTCAGATGTGTGCTTCAATCAGATGAGCCTGGTGCTCATGGAGCGGTGAATAGTTGGGAGAAAAACCCAAGGCTGGGACAAACACTGAAAGGTGGTTCTCATAATGTGAGAAATAATGAGGTTGGAGCCAGCGTGGGGGTAATCCGAACAGAGATTGTGGACTTTGATCCCAATATGTTGGTAGGTTTCACCTGAAAAAAAATGTGATTTAGTTCTCTTAATCAGCTGAACAGGGAAGGGATTGCTGTAGACAGATTGAATGAGATCGGGCGCATCCAGCGCCTTGCCGGAAGCCTGGCACAGAGTAGGCACTCAGTAATTGTTGCCTCCTTTCCTCTCCCCTCCCCACACAGTCACCACAGTTCTGGATGGCCATCATGCTGGGAGAGTCCAGCTGGCGGAAGAGCGTTGTGGAAGCGACCAGAGCGGAGGACTCATCAGTTACAGATGGAAAAGACTGACGTACATTGAAGCAGATGGAAGAATGGCCTTACTGCTATTGCAGCCCAGTGGTATAATGGATCGGGTCGTCTGAGATTTGAAAGTTAACCATGGACAACAAGAGGCCAAGTTTCCACACTCACTAAAGAAGGTTGTTAAAATTCATGGAGCAAAGAAGCTCTTGAAGACACAAGATTCATGATGCTCTTTTCACAAGGAAGGGGAACTAGAAAATTTATTATAACAAAAGATGCTAAATGTATGCCATGTCTGATGCCCTCCCTCCTTAGAACAGGGAGGAGGAGAGACACCAAGGGCAGTAGGGCAGTCAGGTGATCTCCTTAAGCCCAACCCTGTTTTCTTTGTCCATGCAGCTTCCAGCCAAGAGAGGCCAGAATAAAGTCACCTTGACCATCAACAACTTGTCTATGCTCTCAGAATCTTTGCTTCCTTATTACTTTATTTATTTATAAAGAATTATTTATTTGAGAAAGAGGGAGCATGCATGCGTGGGGGGTGGGGGAATAGGCAGGAGAGGGAGAGAAGTAGACTCCCCACTGAGCACAGAGCCTGAAGCAGGGCTTGATCTCACAACCCTGAGATCACAACCTGAGCCGAAATCAGGAGTCCAATACTTACCTGACCGAGTCCCGCTGGCGCCCCAAACCTTTGCTTTTTAAATTTAAAGCTTAGAGATAATCCTACTGTGATTATTTGCTGCACAGGGTATTTGTTAAGTTTAAGTTAAGGGAAGGGGAACCTGATGTTATGTGTCCACTCTAAAGCCACCCATTAGTTATAGAAACTTCTTTCTAAAACACTAACTTGAGGGGCATCTGGGTGGCTCAGTGGGTTAAAGCCTCTGCCTTTGGCTCAGGTCATAATCTCAGGGTCCTGGGATCGAGCCTCGCATTGGGCTCTCTGTTCAGCAGGGAGCCTGCTTCCTTTCTCTCTGCCTGCCTCTCTGCCTACTTATGATCTCTCTCTCTCTCTCTGTCAAATAAATAAATTTAAAATCTT